TCTCTCTCTCTCTCTCTCTCTCTCTCTCTCTCTCTCTCTCTCTCTCTCCCTCTCTACCGCGCCGCTGCAGCGAGAGCGCGAGAGAGACAGATAGTGCAACCTCAGCCAATCGCGCGATTCGACGTCCCTTCGAGGCGCCGTTCCGCGCCGTCGCAGCGCGTCGCAGCCGGTGACAAATCTATCTCCATCTCTCACTCTCTCCGTCTCTGTCCCTCTCCCGGAGAAGATCGGCCAAATTCCAGAGAGCACCCAGACTTTGTAGTGAAACGTTTCCGAATCACGCAAGTCGCCTCCATTTTCGGCCCAGTTTGAAGTCACTGGAATTCCGAGCACCCCTCCGCGGTTTGGGGCGGCTTCCTCCCAGGAGATACAGACGGTGGAGCATTTGGGCCGGGGAGGTCGCACGGCGTCGCACGGCCTATCTCTAGGCTCGACCCTCGGTCAAACAGTGCCGGCGACACGCCGAGCCTAGCCGTCTTGCTCGCACAAAGACCGCGCAGATAAGCGCTGGCACGCGGCGCCGGGATCGCGGGTTCAACCCCACCCGGCGGCCGCCACTTTTTCAGCAGCAGGGCGCCAGCCAGCCAGCCGCGCTGCTGCGCCGCCGAGCGTGGCGGAGAGTGGCGCGGGCCTTCCCTCTCACAGTCCGATTTGCGACTCGCTCATAAAATGGCCCCCTCCCTCCCTCTCTCTCCTCTCCGGTCGACGTCTATGGTCCGGCGATGGCCGTTTCGTAGAATTGTCGTTAATTGCGAATGAGGCAGTGTGGCTTCACTCCGCCTCGGCTTCGGCAGCGCTTCGGCAGCGCTTCGGCCCTCGTTCGGGTTTGGCTCGCTTGGACCGCAGGCATGGCGGGCCGGCTGCGGTCCAAATTAGCGACACAACCGCCTAGTCCAAGTGCTTTCGCCGCTCTCTCTCACACACACATTGCTACGGGTCGAGCCACGGGTGCGAGAGGGACGGAGCCCCTCGACGAGTTTCAAAGTGCTTACGCACGCATAGCTACTTCCAGTCGTGTATTTTTGCTCTGCAAATAGAGACTTTGTCGCGCCTGGATTTTGATGCAGTGTGTCAACACGCCACACCGCGCCCCTCTAAGGGCCCCGCCCGCCCCGCCCCGGGGCTTAACTCTAAGACAAACAGAAGCTGAGTGGAACAGGTGTTTAGCCGGCGGCGTGCAGGTTGTTCCGGAGGCACTGCCCCGGGCACCGTGGGGCCGTGGGGCGTGGGGGCCGTGGGGCACGCCGCGACGCGCTCCTTTATCGCCCTGTTTTGACGCCGCACAGTGAAGACCGGTGGAGGCGGTCAAAATCCCGGACGCGTTTTGAGCTCCAGAGTCGCTAAATGGGACCCGAACCGAACGTGTGACCCCACCAATGGATTGCTCTCCGAACGAGGAATCCATTGGTGAGGTCACACGTCAGGTTCTATCCACTTGTTTTCTATCCCCGAACCCCAATTATTTTCAATTCCATACCACCTCATTGTACTGCCCGGCAACGCCACGCAAATTCAACCCCTAAACCACATTCATTTTCCATCCCTAAACCCCATTCATTTATTTTCTATCCCCTAAACCCCATTTATTCATTTTCTATCCAGCCCCATTCATTCATTTTCTACCCCCTAAACCACATTCATTCATTTTCTATCCCTAAAACCCATTCATTCATTTTCTATCCCCTGACTGAACCCCATTCATTTTCCATCCCTAAACCACATTCATTCATTTTCTATCCCCAAAGCCCAATTCATTCATTTTCTATCCCCTAAACCCCATTTGATCATTTCCTATCCCTATAAACCCCATTCATTTTCTATCCCTAAACCCCATTCATTCATTCATTTCCAATTCCCGCCCAGTCGTTTCCCACCCCCGCCGGTCATCCTCGTCCCCCGCCCCCGCCTCGCTGCCCATCTTCCTACCCTTGCATTCCCTCCTCGGCCGCCACTCTATCCGCCGCTATCCGCCGCTCTATCCGCGCCCCGGGCCCCTTGGCCTGTGCCCCTTCGGCCCCTTTGCAACACACGGCTGGCATGCATATTCATGAGGTGCAGTAGCGGCTGCAGGTGAACCGTGTCGCATCCACAGGCCGCCCCTCTCTCTCTCTCTGTCGCACTCGCGGGACGCCTCGCCGCGGTGCGAGAGAGACGGAGCGACATCCTTCGGACTCGGGCCGCCGCCGCCACCACCACCGGCCCCGCCACACAGCGTGACAGACACGGAGCGTAAAAGTGAGGGAGGGGGCGCCGGGAGTCGAACCCGCGCACGACCCATCCGTCCACGATCCACGTAACGCCACCGAATCAAGTTTTCCCGCGCTGCGAGTGTCTTTGAGTGGCGCCACCTGTGCGGCGCCACTGACCCACATGCATCGCGCATGCACCCCAAGGCCAATGCCATTTTCTTGCGCCGTGTCCGAACCTCAAAACCCGCGCACAGTGGATTTGCCAGAAGACCGGTGGAGGCGGCCAAAACTCCAGACGCGTTTTGAGCTCCAGAGCTGCTAAAAAGGACTCGAACCGGACGGAACCGAACTCCTCGTTCGGAGAGCAATCCATTGGTGAGGTCACACGTTCGGTTCGAGTCTCAATTAGCAACACTGGAGCTCAAAACGCGTCTAGGATTTTGGCCGCCTCCACCGGTCTTCTGGCAAATCCACCGCGCGGCGAGGAGGGTGGGTGCGCTCCACTGCGCTCCACTCGTCACGACGGCGGCAGGCTGGCCGGGCCGGCCACTCGTACAGTCACGCATGCGCACCCCATAAAAAAGCAAATCGTGACCCCTCAGTGACAAAGTCAACACACGAGGTACCTAGTCTGCACCCCGCCTCGCCGAGCCTCGCCGAGCCTCGCCCAGTGACACAATCAAGAGCAATAACATTCAAGAGCCGGGCCGCGACGCCCGCTTTCGGTCAGTTTTGGCGCTCGTTTTACAGAGCAACACTCCAGCCAACGTGCGAAAATCCTTGCCGCAACCTTTGACATTCAGGCGCAGTCCAATCGGTGCATTGTCCCCAGCCGAGCGATTCAGGAGATCGCTCTGTCTCTCTCGCACCCTTACGGTGAGCCCCGTGAGTGCGAGAGAGACAGCGCGACTCTTCTGAATCGCTCGACGCCGTGACCCGCGGCAGCCCTCGACGGGTGCCTCCACTAGTCTCTCCACTCCCGCCCAACAAGGCGAGTTCAAGGCGCCACCCAGCAGACTGATTCCGAGAGTCGCTTTCGTCGCTCCGTCTCTCTCGCACTGATGGGACGTCCCCTATAGGCGCGAGAGAAACAGAGCGACGAAAACGACTCTCGGAATCAGTCTGCAGCCAAGACAGAGCAGATACACGCCACCCTTAAACTTTTGAGAAACGCCAAGAGCCCCAGCAAAACCTGAAATTCGGGCAACCCGAGCGAGTCCCCGGCTGCAGGGGGTATTTCCGACAGTGCGACAGACAGAGCAGGCTGCAGGGGGTATCGCCGACCACAGCACCCCATGAGACCGGCAGCGGGAGCATTGAACGAAAGTCCGCCCCGAACTCCACATATAAAACGCAAAATTACCCCCCCCCCAAAAAAAAAAAGGAGAGGTGGCGCATATGGTTCATGAGCACTAGTGCATTCCCCAAACCAGGCAATACAACCACTAGGGGAGTCTTAAATATGTGTACAAACTGACTTTTAAAAAGGAGCATACACAGACAGGCACATACATGCACAAAGGAACCGGAGCCAGGGTGTTAAGAGCAGCAGAGCCGTTCTGTCTCTGAAGAACAGCTTGAAATCACAGTGCTTCAATCTAAATCAAAAAGAGCCTTTGTCAAAAGTGCTCGCATCCCTCACCCGTTGTAAATAACACAACACAGAGTGTTGGTCAACACTCCTATTTCTACAGTCGGCAATTCGTTCCCGGTTAATTCGTTCCCGGTTAACTTTGGGGCCTTACTCCAAAGTTACTCGGGGTGTTTTCATGTTCTTTGAATGAGCATACAGATTTAGTCTCAAGCAGCGTAGCTGCTGCAATGAGGTGCACGTATTACTCTCTCAGAGAATGTGCCGCAGATTAACGTGCCACATAAAACAAAACTACATACGTGCAACATGGCTAACGTTCTGGTTAACAATGATCTAGCGTTTTGCTCCGTTAATTACAACATCCAAGACTTATTCCGCCAGTTTGAGGTTATGTTTATAAAATTAATGGCAAGCTCAACGAACAAGTCAAAGCTCCAAAATGATATTAAGCCAATGCTCAACCCTCAAATGAACTTGGAATCGGACACTCCATGGTACAAAATGGCAATAAATTGGCAGGAACTCTCTCTCCTCTCTGGAAGGAGCCACAACTGTCTTGCTTTGTAGGTTAAGTTGCTGTATGGTAGCGAAATTGGCAGAAAGAATGACCTATCGGTGAGACTCACACACTAGGAAATATTTGAAAGGACGCAATCTATCGCAAAACGGAAAATTTCGAACAGAACACTGAACATATAACGTTGAAATGAGTTTAAATAGAAGTCATTAAGATCAGTGAACCACTGAATTTAAAGGAATAATAGTGACTGGGCTGGCTAAATTTGACTCGAAATAAATTAAAATTCATTTTTAAAACCGGACGGTGCCAGAAAAATATCGTTCTCTACTCTAAATGCCGAAACAACCCTGGTTTGCACTTCTGAGAAGCACTTCTAAGTCGGCAGGGCACCTATCAACAACCAAAACATCACATTTTGCAACCAACTCAAACCGATCTGACAACTCCAAAAAATACTACCGGCGCAATCAACAAATTAAAATATTCCCAGAAATTGATGGGCAAGTGCTCACCTAAACACAAAGCAGAAGAAACAGGCAAATGTAAATAAAAACAATCTCGCTTCATACAGAAGCCAAGAAGTGGACGTCAGTCGGTCTAACCCCACACGGTATCGGCCTGTTCGCGCGTTTATCCCCGTAAAACGCCCCTAACTTTTATGTGCCCGGGTAGAAACTGGGCTCAAGAATTGACTCACCTGGTTGTTTATTGGCTATCTTGTTAAAACAATTCTGAAAAACTTCATAAAGTGCCATAGGCTCATCATCACTGGTTGCCATCTTGATTCAAGCAAAGCTTACTGACCAGAAAAAATTGACTGTCTACTGTTTTACAGTAACGGCTTGGTAGAGGGCAGCACTGTACGGCTTGGTTTTGGTTTAGTGTCGAAGTCGAAGGGGGCGGGTGGAGACCCTGTTCCTCCAAGGTGGAGACGCATCTCCATGCTATCCATGCTCAACGCGAAAGAGCTGCCACAAACCGCCGGGCACTCCCCCAACGAGTAAATTGCGCTTGTAGAGCGCTCACGAGTTGTCTTCAAAAACGGTCTACAATGTCAGAGGGAAGGCCAGGCGAATGAATGGACACCCCTGAAGAGAGTAGATCAAGAAATATGTTTTATTTGGGAAAGTATGACAGAAAACTCCATCCCAGAATAGAGATTTTTATTTTAATTAAAATTTATCTTTATATCACAGAAGGAAATGCACAAGGCATTTTTCAGATTAGTTACTAGATTGCAGCTTCATTAACAAGCTGCTGGAGGAAGAACATAAATCAAGAACAAACGACTATTTCCTGAGCAAAACACTGGTGTTAGAACAACATTCTAGCACAAAAAAACATAAAAATACAGTACAAACAATATAACTTAACAAAAAGTGAAATGACACTAAAAATTAACTCAAATGTTACTGACTTTGCACTCACAGTAAAGAACAAACAATAAGAAATTTAGAAGAAAATAAATAAACTGTGAAAGATGACACAAATTCTTAAAATAAACACCTTCTACACATACTGTTTCTGTTTTTAAAAAACCCTTGGCATTTACTATTTAAATTAAATAACTTCTGACAAGATTCTGAAGTTTTCCTTCCCAGCACATACAGTATTTAGAGAAATCTACGGGATCACAGTCAATATAATACAGTAAAATGGAAGAATCAGTTCCAAACATCCCCACAATAAGGAAATTTTTGTGCATGAGAAGTAAAGCAAGGAATAACGAGGAAAAGCTCCACATGTCATGTCTTATGCCTTAGTCATACATTTGCAAAGATATAATCCTTTACATCACAGTCTCAAAATTACAAAGAGGAAATTCACAAGTCACAGCCAGAGAAAATTAATGCCAATCACAAATGAGCTTCAGAAATCACACTAAATATTCTTTTTGCTGCATTTATGTCCACTCCCAAGTTATTAACTATGTTGAGAACTGTAGAGCACCTGAAAGATGGAGTAACAATACAAATTAGTGATTAATAAACAAACACAATCACGTCATGTTTTGATGTTAACAAACCTGCTAAAAAATTCTGATAGTGTAGCAAAGTTTCCAAGAAGCTTCAATGCAAAAGCATAGTTGACACAAGGTAGAGAGCAGAAGAACTCAAGTCTCTGGGAATCATAAAATAATTATTAAATCACTCTGTTAAGGAAAAAATGATCTGATCATACTCTGCAAAAATGATAATTTCTCAAACTAATTGACTTACGGTTTCCAGTTCATCTGGTAAATTGTAAGCTATTTCAGGGATACCATGGCCAGCTTTGGTTTCCTTCATTCCCAACTTTGCCAAAAATCTTGCTGTTTCATCTGAAAAGGAAGGGAAAATAAAAATTTGGTAACACAGAAGCTGCAGAAGCTCTTGTAGCGGTGTCACTGCTTACCAAAGTTTTGAGAAAACAAAAGCTGAACACCGGCTTGCCTCAAGAGCGCAGCATTCCCACAGCCGATGTTTGCACTCCAGGGTGACAAAGTCTGAGGAGACTGCTCAGCAGGAATAGGTACTTTGCCTTTTTTACCCTTCTTAGCATACCCAGACGTGGCTAATGACTTTATGCGATCATTCTCCACAATCAGGTGAGGCTTCCCAAAAGACAATTTTAACTTCTTTACTAGCTCTTCCAGCTTTTTCCTATCTTTTAAATCTGCAAGATGAAGGAGAGATGGACACTTGATCAACAAATTCAGTGATTTCTAAGATGAAAAACAGATTGAAAAGTAAGATACAGTAAATTGAAAAAATGAGACAATAAACGTTGCACACCTGAAGATAAAATGCGACACACGCCAAGTCTCCAGCTGACAATGAAGTCGGCATCTTGCACTGCGCATGGAACGAGGGTTATTTGATAATTCACCCTCAACACTCTCAATAGATCTGGTGACGTAGCTATTTGTCGTGATGAGGCAATAATGAAAACTTTCATCATCATTCCAGTGGGTTTTGACTGTGAAACAGTGCAACAACATCAATAACAAAGAAAATACAAGCTACTTAAAACAGATAGCTTTGCAGCTGAAAAAGGTGATAAATAGCCCCTCTCTCTCAAAAGATTAGAGGACGTAACTCTTACCTTATTTTCACTAGGAGCCACAATGGCACTGCTAACAGGCTTCTGCACAACATCAGGGGCATTGTGAGATCCTTTAGGAACGTAGGAAGTAGTGTTGGAAACAGCAGCTTGTCTCGAAGTTGAAGCCAAATTGTTAGTCAAATTCGAACAGTCACCAGACATCTTCCATCCATTATGAGGAATAGCTTTGACAGTGGAGCCACCACTCTGTAAAAAGGGAGTTTTCTTCACAAACTTGAAGCTGCTCGGCTGTGCTTGCGGAGGCGGCTTTGTTGTCACAGCAGGAGTTGGATCAGGAATAGAATCAAAATCGAAATCATCATTGAATAAGGATGCCAGGTCTGAGTCATCAATTTCTTTAACTTTGGAATTTTTTGTATCTTCCACAACAGACATTGTGGTTACTACTTTCGATTCTGTGGTTTTGTCCGGTTTAACAGATGGTAATAGTGCTTTCACAGGAGTAACTTCTCTCTCACACATAGTTTCCTCCAAAACACAAATCCGTTTCCTCTTCTTTTTCACTTGAATTTCCTCCTCACTTTCATCGCTTTCCAGAGCCCTAACCCTCTTTGGAGCAGTATCCCCATTTTTCAGAGCTTTTTTCAGTCTGCGCTTCTCCTTTCTTTCAGCTTTGAGACGAGCCTCAGCAAGCTCTAGAAGAGACATCTCAGGCTCGTATTGTGTTGGCTCATCGTCGACGCAGAAGGAATCCTAGCAATGGGAAAAACAGAAGTAAGATATTAGTTCAAAACTACAGAGTAAATAATCAGCAAAAGTATGATATATTGAGACTGACATCAGCATAGGTCTGTTCCAGCTCATCTGCATCAGGGTACTGGGAATAAACATTATCCATATCCATTTCCGGTAGACGATTTGGAATTTTGAATCTACCCAGTCCTGTGCCTGGGCTCCTGAAAAACGATAAAGCAAGTCAAAAATCTGTAAACTAGCTCCTACAATACTGAATGGGAACTGTAGCCTTACTTCACAGATTGAAGGTATTTGGCATGGATGTCCACTACTGACTGAGATGCTTCAGGCTGAGAGTCATTTATAAAACTGGAATCCAGTTCATCTAAGCTAGTAGACTCGCCATCACTGGAGTTGTGCTTGCCATCATCAGACTCAACAGCTTCACTCACTATGAACCCATTTGCCTAAAATTTGAAATAACAAAAATTGAGTTTAAAAAATAAGTTTCATTCAAATTTATATGAGAAACAATGTTGTCATTGGTCCAGCACCAAAAAATTGTAAAGAAAGTTGATTAGTTAAGTTGATTTACCTTTTTGGACTTCTTGACCTTCTTTGCCTCCTTTTTTTTCACCTTCAACACTTTTTTATCTTTTCTCACAAAATCTTCTTCTTCAGAACTACTCAAAAAATCTTGTCTCCTTCTTGAAGGTGCTCCTTTTATCACATTTGCTGAAGATGATTCATCAAGATTGCTTAACAGAGATTCATCACAGAAATTAGATAGATCAAGTGTTTTAACTATATTTGAAGAGTCAGAAGGCACTCCAGCTGCCCTCAGACTCTTAGTGCTTCTCGGTTTTTTAATAAAGTTGTAGGAGGACGAAGAGGTGTCTAGAAAATCTCCATTTCTTTTCTTCACCAAAGGAGAGTCAATAGTTGTCCCATCAACAGCAAAATCTGTGTGCTTCAGTAATAAGCCTTCTTCAGAAGATGAAGTAAGATCAAGAACACAATTCTTCCCCTTCTTCTTACCAGGTATCACAGTCTCATCATCTGAGGAAAGCACTACTACAACATCTTCATCCCCCTTTGCTTCCTTATACTCTTTGAATGATGTTTTGGGGTTCTCTGTTGTGGGGATGGTTGGCATTTCAAACACATCCAACAGAGAATCATCACAGAAATCAGACAGGTTCAATTTCGACTTTTCAGTTGAATCATCTTTAGGACTTATTACATTATTGACTGCTTTAGTATTTTTGGTTGAGAGCCAACCACTCTTACTTGGACTAGAAAACATTGGCTTATTTTTAGCTACAGAGGATATGTTAGCAGTTCTGGACAGTTTCTTTCCCCTGCTCAGTTTACTGCTGCTTGGTTGAATTTTGGAGGAGAACGGCGTGTCGTTTTGGCGCGTCTGAAACCAACTGCTTGCACCTGATGGCCCATTGGAAGTTGATACTGATCCCTCAAAAGAATCCCTCAGTCTTTTCTGGGCGGCTTTTAACTTTGCAAACGCCACATCCAGCTCATTTTCTGGAGAACAGTCCCTGACAGACCTCGAGTTCTGGCAGAGCTCAACCTCATTCTGGTTCACTAGGTCTTGAGAACATTTCATGGAATCACTAACATTATCATCACATTTGCTAGGAGCATTGTTTGTATGAGCATTTTCTAGCTCCTTTTCTTGAGACAGTAACCAACTGTTGTTAAATTCATCTCCAAAGGTGCTAAAATCTATTTCTGAATTCATATCAGGTTGCTTCTTTTCTTTGACCTGCTTCTTAATTTCACTTTCGTAATTCTTGGGTGGTGTCTCTGTTTTCAATGACACTGCTCTATCTTCAATCACTTGTTGTTCGGTTACTGACTTAGATACCTCGGTTTTTGTTTTCTTTAGACTGAGCTTTGAAGGTTTGCGGACAGTTTGGACTGGTATTAAAACAGGTGATAGACTTCGATCAGTGCTAGGAACTGCTTCATCCTTAACATCATTTCTCTCTCCATTTAGTAGCTTTGCATTATCACTGTCAAGGATATTTCTGGAAGTTGGGTTGGCCTCTTTTAAAGATAACAGACTTTGCGAAACCTCCTTGGCAATTTGTTGTGATGGCTGCTTCTGAGAGGCAAACTCTGTGCTATTAATTCGACAAAGAAAACTGTCAACGTGGCTGTCACCATCGCAGTCAGCAAACAGGTCCTCTTCACTCGCAGCTCCATCATCATTCATGCATATGGCATCATTGAAGCCACCATCCATGATTGGGCTGGTGCGAGGGCTAGGCGATGGGGTGGGGCTTGGTCGAAATTCTGGAGAAGAACTAACAGCTCTTACAATTTGAACATGATTACTTCTTTCTTCACTTGCGGCCATGTCCATGAATTGAGTTAGTGATTCTGAGGTTTCACACAATTTCTTCATTTTCTGGGTGAAGTTCTCTTCAGCTGGTTTAGCTTTAGCTTCCATCGCTTTCTGTAGAATTGCTTCCTTCAAAGAATCGTCAATTTCACTTTTGTTGCTGCTCTCCTGCCCTGATAACTTAAAAAAATCATCATCAAATAAATCAAAATCACCTTTTGGTGGGATGAAACAATTCTGGGATGGAACTATTTCGGATGAAGAGGTCACAACTTCATCTGTGCATTCAGGCTCACGTTTAACACTTTGATTTCTTTCCAGAGTATTACTGACACCATCAAGCTCTCTAGAGCTTATACTTTCATTGAGAGAATGCCGTTTCCGTAGTCGAAGGCCAAGTCGTGGTTTTTTCATAGCTTGAGAACCTAAGATTGGAGACACTTGCTCATTGGGCACAGAGTCCTTCTTGGAAGGGGTAACACATTCTTCTTTAACAGACTCCTTTGGCTTCACTGGTGAAAGCTTTGGAGTCTTTAAACTTGCAGTACACACAAACTGATTTTCATTGTTTTCTGGTGACTTTGATGCTTTCATAGGAAGTGGTTTTGCAACATTGGAGTCTTTTGAAGTTTTGTCCAGCCACTTAAGTCCATCTGATTTTTTGTCATGTTGAGATACAAACACATCATCAATGTGAGACAAACCTAAAAAGTCAAAACTGTCGTCTTGATCAAACTGATGTTTCTCCTCTTTGGCTTGTTGCTCCTTCCTTGGTGTAGAGCAAGCAAGAACAGCACTGCTAGAACTATATTCCACTGTTGGAAAATCAGTTGTTTCCTGTTTTAGGTTCTCTTCTTCAATCGTCTCCATTTTAATATCACTCTGGTTCACTTCTGAGGACGTCCGAGGCTTGTGATGAGTGTTGGATGTATTATAGGAAGACAAGTCGCCCACACCACCACACAGCAGGCCATCAAAGATTTCATCATCAGGAAACTCGTACTTGGGTGTAAGTGAAACAAGTCTTTGACTTTGAATAGGCTTGTGATACTTCGATAACACGTCTTTAGTCAACTGGGGAACAAGTTTCACAGCTTCCTCAAGTGATTTCCTCATACTTTCCCATGTAACATCAACCTTGGCTTTCTTTTGAAGAACAAATGAGTTTAACGAACTACAAGGAAAAAATGCATCACAAATGAGGCATCCATCTTCATCTTCATCAGGAGCTTGATTTTTCAGAGCTCTTGACAGGTCCGAATAGAGATCTTGTCGATTTGCTTGGGAAGACATGTAAGCAAATCCACTAGACGACTGGTTGAAATCATCATCTTCATCGCTATCAATTATAATTTCATCAACAACAGCAATTGAGCTTTTGTCAACAATACTCGATTTGGTGCTAGTGTCTGCTGGTCTGGACGACACTGGAGGAGGTGGCAGAGGGGCCAAAAATACAGAAGTTGATGGTCCTTGAATTGGAGGTGGATCTTGTGGGCTAAATTCATCATCATCAATAAACTGAGGTTTGCTGCAAAAATTTAAAAATTAAGAATAAATGAAAAATAGTGGAACATTCCAATAGATTTGAAATGGCAGTTCTTGTTCACTTCCGTACCTTTTAGGCTTATTAGGAGGCGGCAATGGATTGTCAGGTGAAGTGACTTCCTTAGGTTTGAAGGGAGAGTTACAGGTTGTGGCTTTCTTCGGACGACCTCTCTTTTTAGGTGGATTGGGAGATTTATCATCTGAAGTTGGTGGTCTGCCTCGCTTCTTTGATTTTGTAGGCCACAGTTGGGTGGATGTTATTTGAGAGGAAAAACCTGGAGCACACAATCAAATCAGGATTTCACAGAAATGAAAGGAAATAAAATATCAAGATTAACATTCGGCCGAAAGCAAAGAAACAGGGCGAACCTCCAGACTGATCGCTGTCCCTCTTATCATCAGCCCATGATAACAGAGTGGTGAGTAGCACAGAATCAGAGGAATTCCCAATGACATGAGTGCGCTGCAAAGGATTGTTCAGTGCAATTTTTTTTTTAAACATCTTAAACAAAATTGGTAGAGACAAAAGTATACAAATACGTAGCTGCATGAAATACGAACCTGCTTAAAGCGCATAAATTCCAAATAAGTGGCAAGGTCTATATTTCTTGGATCTGGTAGCTGGTTTTCAATGACCTCTGCAAATTAGTAGAAACATAAAATTTAATTTTTTGGTACCCCAAGAATTCCATTGATGAACATGAGCCAACCAACAAACCTGCTGATTTGGACCAAAACTCTTTCCTTAAGGGAATTTTATCAAATACACAGCAATCCTCAATGTTATCCCACACAAGTTTCATTTCAGCAAAGTCCTCTGCAGAGAGAAAATCCACCTTTCCAATGTGTGGTTTGACAACTACAGATGACTTTGATGTTCCTGCGCCACCTCCAGCAGTACGCTTTTGGAACATTTTACGCAAGTCCTGCTGATTTGATTTAGGTTTGCTCGGGGCTGGTATTACTTTCCTTTCGGTATACTTTGGCTGAATACCTGAAAAGCAGCAATAATGAGCACCATTGTGAAAACAATCTTCATCTATGATGTTGACCGCAAACTTCATAATTGGAGGAAGCATACCTGGAGGAAGCATGCGGGGAGACTCTTCCAGCAAATGACTGGCTAGATTTTCTCTATTCAGCAGAATAGATCCAACAGATTTCTTTTTAAACAAGCCTTGATTGTATTTCTGGAAATCAACAAGGTAACAACATGAGCACAAACACAATACAGAAAAGGGATTATCAACACAAATAAATAATTCAATCCCAATTGAAACAACATGAATCTTTACCATTTCCTCTTTTCCACGAGTCACAAGCATAATGATTTTGCCTTGTCTCTTGCGTCCTGTGCGACCCATTCTCTGGACTTGCCGAATAGGTGAGTTTTTGGCATCAAAGCAAATAATCAAATCAACCTCTCCAATGTCCAAACCTTCTTCTCCAACACTAGTGGAGACAAGGGTGTTATAGATGCCTTTTTTAAATTTTTCCATGATCTGTCAAAGAGGCACAATACTACAGAGTATTCACAGTGATGCAAAGAGAACACAGTCCCAAGAGACATAAAGTAAAATTCAAACCTCAAGTTGTTGTTTTTGACTGATTCCTTTTGATGTTTTTCCAACCGATTGACCCATAAATGCCACAGGTTTAACAAGGGGTTGAAAGTTTTTTAGCATCTCACAAATCTCCATCACACCCTCTCGATACTGAAAAAGACATTTAAGAAATACTTCTCAACACAGTGACAGCAAACTGGTCAATAAATACACAAATCAAAAGCAACTGACCTCACAAAACACTATTGTCCGTGTAGCTTCTCCCTTTCTCTCAAAATTTTCAAAGTGAGATACAATAATTTCTTGTAATCTATCCAACTTAGGATGTCCATAAACTAATCTCTTCTTGGAGGTGCCCCCTTCTTCATCATCAATTTCAACTGGGTTCAGAACCGATTCTATTTCGTCAATCAATGCCTTCAGATCATCATTGACAGAAAGACGATTAGCAGCTAGATCTCCTTTATTTAGAGCACCCTTTATGTGATTGAGGAGAAGACGTAAACCATAGGTTTGTAAAAGCTCAAGCCCATGAACAAATGTATGGACAAGAGAAAAGTCAGTGTTGATTTTGTTGCTGCGGGCTGGGTCCATTCCCCTGGCACCTTCTTGGCGAAAGTTTTCCCACTCTTTGAGGACACTAAAGCGAGCCATTGAGCCAACATTACCAAACAAAAGTCGTTGCTGTTGTAAACTTTTTGCATATTCCGTTGCAATACCAATAAATTTCGCTCTTATTCTGTAGATTGTTGGTCCAACATCAACCACCATTAATTCAAGCTTTCTTTGATGTGTATACGGAACAATGTCTGCTGAGTCTTCACTCCTTAGCTCAATGTGACTGATCATTAAATTAGTCACAACCTTTTGAACAGCTTCTAAATCACTTCCAGGAGTGGCAGAAAGAGCTAAAACACGAAAGCGGACCTCATAGGAATTTAATATTCTGATGACCTGGGCATAGGCGTGATCCCCAAGTGCTCGATGTGCCTCGTCAATCACAACACATTTGACTGCCTTGGCCGGGCAGACACTGCTAGTTAAATCATTTTGGACACATTGTGGCGTGAGGAAAAATACTCTCTTTTCCTTCCACATAACTGCTCGCATTTTGCTTGACAAAGCTCCTGTCATTTCTGCAGTGTCTGATTCAGGAATACCCAGAATATTTATGCAGTTTTCAATCTGTTGAGCCACAAGAGGTTTAGTGGGTGCCATGAAAATGATTTTTCCTTTCGGGTACCACATATAATAATTATACATGACCACTGCAGCTATGAAAGTTTTACCAAGACCTGGAGGTTTCAAATAGAAAAATGAATTACTCAATCACATTTAAAAAGTTGAGGAAGAGAGAGAACAAATCGAAGTAAGCATTAGAAACCCACCAGTTGGGAGACTGACTAGTGTGTTGCTGAATAAAGCTTTTTCAACAATCTCACGCTGATAGGTTCGCACAGGGTATTTATCACTTGTAGGATACACCCAGACCTGGCCTGTCTTGAGGTTGAAGCCCTCTGCCTCTGAGCCATCATACAACTCCTGCTCAGGCACATCCTCAACTTGATTTGGGGTGGATTGATAAGGCCTCTTAAATGGTTCTTCAGCATAACTGCTGCTCGGACCCGCTTTGGAATCATCTCTGAAAGAGGAAAATAACTAACGTACCGTCTCTTTGATTTAATTCATGAATGTCCTATTTCTTATTTATCTTGTTTCATTAATACCTGATTGGGTTAGGTGATGGTGCTCTAATTTGCTGACTCAGACGGGGAACTTCAACTTCTTCGTACATCCTGAAAATAAGAACAATCCTCAGTAAACATTGCAGACAAAATGCTTCAAAGTGGGTATTCTAGTCCACTTACCGTCGGGACTCTTCCATTGCCCGCAGCAAATCTTCATCATTATCATCTCCCCACATGTTTGGTGTGTAGCATGTGCTAACTGCAGGCAAATATTGAGTGAACTCATGTCACTGAAAACGACCTGAAGACAAATCACAACACAATCAACACTCGGTCGGTGACAGCTTGTTGCACACCAGCTTTGTTAGTGACAAAAAGCATTGAAGATCCCTCGCAACCCCAGCGGAAAAAGGAAATTTCATCGTGTCAAAAGAAAGTGCAGGCAGAAATGATCCAGAGAGAGAAAATCGCCACAAAATCACAGGTAAAAGAAGTGCTTAACCTCACCCGTTCTCCCGTACGTGCTTCGTACAAGAGTCCTAACTTGAGACCAAGACACTGACATAGAATGCACGTACCTCCTCAATTTAAACGGATAATTCCGACAAATTTTTATTCACTTCCGATCTGCCATTACCATCCTATTGACGAAAAAGGGCAGTATGCATTCCATCTCCTTTTCTTTCAAACGAACCACGAAGCGCGCTGCGGCGCGAGTCTCAACAAAGCCTGCCGTTGGGTGGTGCTGCCCCCTGGCGGCTCCCGGTAGCACTAGCTCTGCTGGTCGGCATGTCGGCATGGAGTAGCGACGGCCCAGGCGCAGGATGGGTTGCCTACGCCCCAGGCGTACAGCGCAGCGCAGCGGGCCAGAAGACCGGCGGAGGCCAGCGCAGCGGGCCAGAAGACCGGCGGAGGCCGGAGGCGGCCAAAATTCCAGACGCGTTTTGAGCTCCAGAGCCAGGACTCGGAACGAGCGTGTGACCCCACCAATGAATTCCTCGCTCGGAGAGCAATCCATTGGTGGGGTCACATGCTCGGTTCGACTCTGGGAGTATGTCTTGCAAATGAATCCAGGAACGGGTATTTTCAGGTGTGCCATCGTAATCGGCACACGTTTTTGTATCGACATGTTCAAAAATAAGAACTTTTTAAATACTTTGCTGTGGCTGATGTGCTACTTTAAAATGTCCCAAGAACGTTTCCGACTGTTCAAAAATGTCTCACGATTTTTGAAAATTGTCAAAATTGGTCTCAGAGAAGTGATATCTTGGGACGAATGGTCCAAAACTGATATCTATCTAGTGCCGCTTATTTCAAGCCTTTTGACCCTAGTCCACTCAAAAAACGTCTTTTCTTCACTCATCTTCCCCTTATTTATGACCAACGCATTTGTCGAGAGTGGTTGATTCTGGAGGACTAGGAATCGGAAACCAGAGGTTCCCTCATTTTCTAAAACCGGGACTCAGAACGCTGTCAGCGAGCGCTCGGAAGTGCTTGAACGGGGAGGGGGGTGGAGGGGGGAGTGCTGCACTTCCAACCGGGCGCCTTTGCAAAAGTTAACTTTATTATTTTAGTTTTTTCTGGGTCCAGATGCATATTTTACCATGTGTTGTTTACATCTACAGAGCAAATGGGTATTGCTTTTACTTAGTTGCTGTGTGTGATTTTTTTTTATTCACAGGTGCGACCATGTGTTCGTGAAATCGCGAGGAGTTTAGGATAAATCAAATCTCAGGTACGGACAAGAAAAACACATTTTTTTTTCAACACTGCTTCACTTTATTTTGCTTTTGTCTAAAGGAAGCGAGACACCTAGGCGCCATTGCCCGAGTATATTTCAGATACATTATCTCGTCGCACTACAGAAGCGCCGATTTTAACTTCTACACAACGACACACAAATGAATAACAATTGACACCATGTAACATCGATATGCCTTATTGCCAAGGCACTGTCAAAAACGGAAAATACAATTGACCAAATATTGACACCAATACCATATAGCATGACAACCAATATTGGGATATTGGAATCAATAAAACTAAAACTCAACAAAAACGAGTTCTCTGTGCCAAGTTCACAGCGACTAAAGCCTGCATACCCTAAAACTACATTCAAGAATAACAGAAGTGCGGGAACCCGCGTCAAAATTCGGCTCTGAGGTCTGAAGTGTGCTCGCCACACACTGACTAAAGCATCCGTCATAAAACTAGTAATTGAGGTCAGTCGAAGACAAATAATAATGTAACATCAACAGTAACACGGAGAGCAAACAAAATCCTACGCGTACATGGATTTTTTTGGTGAATAACATTTAGTATTATTTACATGATTACATGTCGAGAATCGGCTAGTCTCCGTCGGGGCGTTCGCCCAGTGAGTCCACCGAGCCCACGCCCGCCGGGCCAGCTCCATGATCCCTCGGCATATCTAGTATTGTCAATACACAGCAGACCACGAGCCGCGGACGCAGCTCGCCCTACCATATACATCGTGCTAGTTTACGTGTGGTTCTCTCCGTGGGTTTAAACGCTAGGTGGCGAGGGAAGTGTGGCAACTTCGCTCGCCGTCTTAGGCTAAGTCTTACTGCTAAGTCGGCACCGAGGCCGTCGTTCTGGAAGACGTTGAGATTGTTGTTTTTCGTAGCGCGAGGCTAGATCCTAGGAACTAATTCGAGTTCCCGTGGCGGAGGACGGTGCGTTCTCCTCCGTGGGTTCTCCTTACGTTAAGGCTGAGGGCGCGAAGCTAGCGAAGCTCAACGCGTCGCGTCTGGCGGGCTTGCCTAAGGCTTGCCTACATCGCCTACGTCGCCCTGCCTGGAGGGGTGTTGCCCTTCACGCCCTACAAGTCGCTACAAGTGCATCGAGAGGGCTCGGCCCGGCTCGGCCAGGAACACGCGGCAGTGTCACTGTCACACTGACAGTGTCAAAGCTCCAGGTGTTGTCCAGCCGCCTTTATCCCTGGCCGCGGGAGACGGCAAACCGTTGCGGGGGTCGCCAGTGTGTTTCCACACTTGATTTTCTGTCGCGGCTTTTTTTTTTCATACGACGAGATGGCAACTCTTTTGATTGGATCAGGTCAACCCGCAGCGCTGGCCGCCCCACAGGAAATGCTGACACCCCCCCCCTCTCTCTCTCTCTCTCTCTTACTCTCTAACACACTCACACACACACACGCACACATACGAATACATACTGGCACAATCCCCCATTCATGTCCCCGCCTCCATTCATACCACCACCATGGCAGCATGAATCTAAGCCCGACTGAATTCCGACTGCCGAGTATGCGTCGGGTATGCAGCCAACTGCCATCACAACTCACACACTGTTCACACCCATTCACACACATTACATGATAGGTACACTGTTAGTTGGAACAAAAAAAGAGGCCCGTCTCAAGTCGTGCTGTAGTCCTAATGACTTATCAAGAAACACAGACAGCATCATAAGTGCGGCAATTTTCTTTTGAGTGACAGACAACATTCATATGGCCACTCAGGAGATCTGTATTCCTATTTCAGTCTTCACTGAAGTACAGGATCAATACTTGCAAGACATTTCCAAAGGCTCTTTTAGCAGGCTCCAAAATTATTTTGTGCGCATGAACAGTTGTAATAACGGCACAAAAAGAAAAGAAAACAAATTATCACTTTCATTTGCATTTATCACAGAAACTAAAATTGAAGCGATAACATTCAAGCTTCCCACCAAATGGGTTTTATGAACTACTAGATAACAAAATTGACTGAATCGACAAAACTGTATTCATTATATAGAAATCACCGAGAAGTTTCACACGGCAAAAAACCGTTCCTGGTTTTCCCTGGAACTCGCCGAAAACCGCCTCTTCCTTTACTGCCGGCAACCTGGGAAAATCAGGAACCGTTTTCACCGTGCACTAATTTCCACAATTTTCCCAGCAGTGAGCGTAGCTGAAATTTGATACAGTATGCGCGTCGTTTCGCGACCAAATTGATATGTGTCGTACATTGAATAAAGACACCAATAACATGCTCAAAGTTTCTTTTTTACCTTAATTGACAAATGTATTGTTACCCCTTTCTAGGAGTTCTCCCATTTTTTTCACAGCTTTGCATTTCACTTACGAGTACCCCACCCCACAACAAAGGAGGCTCCGAAAAAGCGAACCGCCGCGATGGAACACGCGGTGTTTCCTCCTCCAACACAATTGACGCCTTTCACTGATATGTCGATATAGCAAACAAGTGCCGCACGAAGAAAATAGAGAACCAAATGCTCTCCGCATGCAACCACTCTTTTGATATGTTTTCCGCTGATATTTGGTTGTTTACTTGCATCATTAGCCTACCGCAGCAGGGAGCTATCCAAGCAGGTAGTGGTTTTCAAAAACAAGAGTCCAACTGACCGGCTCAGCGCGTTCTACGTACACGGCCATCAACAAAAACAAAAAAAACAACAACAATCACTGCGCCGTTCTCGCCGACGTGGACTTGAACTCCGAAGGCTGCTCCGTCGGCGTGCGTCCTGGCAGTCTTGAACTGCTTGGCGGCAGTAGGCGGCAGGTGCGCGGCCCGCCGTCAAGCACCGCCACGACGTGGTGGTCCAGCACGGAAGCAGGCCGTGGCCGTGGTGACGTGTCCAGTGTGGTGGTTGTCGGAGCCGGCGGCCGGTGCGGCGGGGCCGGGCGGCGCGGCGCGGCGGAGCGCGGCCGCCGCGGAGCAGGCGGTGCAGGCCAGCACGGCGACGCACCGCCGCACGCCGCGCCGCCGCGGCGGGCTGTCTCGGGCCGACTGGCGGCGCGGCGGCTCGGCTGCTCGCGGTGCAGCTCGCGGTGCCGCGGTGGGCGGGGCCTGGCGGGGCGCGGCGGGGCGCGGCGCCTCCTCGGGGTGGGGCCTGCCCGCCCACCAGCGCGGCCACCAGCACGGCCAGGGGCGGCCCGCGGTGGCGCTCGATACCGCCGAGCCCCGCCATTGGCTGCCGACGGCGCCCCGCGCCCCCACGCCCCCACACCGTGCAATCGCCATTTTCACGGGCCGTGCCACAGTGGGCCAGAAGACCGGCGGAGGCGGCCAAAACTCTTAGACGCGTTTTGAGCTCCAGAGTCGCGGACCAGGACTCGAACCGAACGTGTGACCCCACCAATGGATTCCTCGTTCGGAGAGCAATCCATTGGTGGGGTCACCCGTTCGGCTCGAGTCCCATTTAGCGACTCTGCAGCTCAAAACCCGTCTAGAGCTTTGGCCGCCTCCTGCGGTCTTCTGGCCCACTGTGCGCCCCTCGTCGTTAGCCAGCAGGAACGCCGTGGCGCTGCCAAGTGTCGGCCAAAGGCGAGCAAGGCGCCAAAAGGGCAGCCAAGTCGGGCTTACATAGCCCCCGCCGCCCCGCCGCCCCGCCGGCCCGAACAAACACCGACACTGGGAAAGAATTTTTAAAATCCGAGTGTCAAGACGAAGGGGAAGGCGGCGCCACAAGGCCAGGTAAAGGCCATCGGGCTTACGAAGCGCCCGTCGACGGTCCAAACAAACTCCCACACCAGAAAAAGAGTGGAAAAGAAATCCGAGTGTCAAGACTAAGATAAAGGCAAGCATGGCGCAAAAAGGCCAGTCAAAAGGCCAGCCAGAAGGCCATCGGGCTCAAGCAGACCTCCGCCGGGCCAAACAAACGCCAAAACTGGAATTTTTTTTAAATTCTACTGTCAAGACTAAGAACAAGGAAGAAAGGTAAAAAATCCGAGATATTTACAATGCTAAACTTAAAGGC